AGGATCTCCTACATCCCTTCCAAGTGGATGGCAGTGGTAGCTGGGCACCATCTAGTTCTTCTGGTCTCATAGTTGTATAGGTTGCAGATCGAATGGTGTACCAGTCGCTAGGACTGATTGTTTCCATTCATTTGGTTTTCTTCTTTCTTCTTGACGAGGAGAGACCCGTTGTTGCATCTAGATGCAGCTTCCTAGCTTTTAAGGTCCCAGTCGCTACTCGCCAAAGTAGTAGGTGGAAGTTACTGAGTTTTTTCCCTGAAAATATCATATGTTTGGTCCTTATGATTGCCATTGTTTGTGTTTTTCTGGGGAGCTCTTTCTTATTTTTTTCCCCATGTATAGATACAAGTATTTATTTTAATGGTCTTGCTTTCCATTTGGAGAACTCCCTTGAATAATACTTGCAGAGCTGGTTTGGCAGTGTGGCAAAATCCCAGGGCTTCTGTTTGTTTGGGAATGCCTTGATTTCCCCCTTGTTTTTGAATGACCACTTTGTCAGGTAAAGAATTCTTGGTTGGCAATTGGTTTTATTCAGTGTTTTATGTATGTTGTTCCCTTGGCATCTAGAGTTTCTGAAGAGAAATCCACATTGATTCTTATGAAAGCCCCTTGGCATGTTATACTGCTCTTTTCTTTTGCTGCTTTCAGGATTCTCTCTTTGTCCTTGGTTTTCTAGAATTTCCTTACACTATGGCACATAGTTGATCTTTTGTGTTTCTTCTAATAAGTGTTCATATAGCTTCCTGTATTTGCAGGCTTGGTTCTCTGTTCAGGTCTGCTCATCTCTTGGAAAATCATTTCTCTGCCTTTATTCTCATGATGCTCTGAAATTGCAATAATTCTAATGTTAGATTTCTTAATTGAATCTCACATTTCCTTTTGGGTTCATTCATTTTTCTCCTTTTCTCTTGAGACTTGATAAGTTCAGTTATTTTGTCTTCTAGTACATTTATTCTATATTTTATTTGACTCTAATGCTAAATGTTTCCCTTGCTTTATAGTTCAGTTTTTATTTTGTTTTTCAGTTATAATAGTTCTCTTTATTTTATTTTATATATTTTCGGTTTCTATCTTGAATCTCTCATTTTGTCCTTCCATTTGTTTCCTAAGCTCTGCTAGTTTGTTTTCTGTGTCCTTTTTGCTTTCTCTCAATGTATTTAGCACCATAATCTGAAAATTCTCAGTTCTTTGCATTATTCTGGACTCCATAGGAGAAATGTTGTCTTCTTCATGTTTTATTTTTAACTGGTCTTTCTTCTCTTGTGATTTTGCATGTTTTACTATTTTCTGTTGAACTTGGGCCATTTGTCATCTTTGATTGTTTACTTCAAATTTTATATTCTCTTTTTATGGAAAAATTTTCTGATTGGATGCCCTAGTGGCATAGAAGTCAAGTGCTTGTCTACCAGGTCAGAGGCCAGGGTGTGCTTCCACCAGCTGCTCTGCAGGACAAAAATCTGGCAGCCTGCCTCCACAAAGACTTACAGTCCTACAAATTCTACTGGGCAGTTCCACTCAGCCCAGAGGGTCACTGTGAATCAGAATCAATCTGGCAGCAATGGGCTTGGTATCTTCTCCTGAGAACCACCATGATATGCTCTTATCCTTATGTTTTTTATTTCGGTGCTGATTCGGGATTTCTGGATGCTTGATCTCTGGAATTAAATACACACATGCAGGAGTTGGGTATTTAGCTGGTTGCAGATGCTGACATAAGTGGTGAGGCTTGACTTTCCTGTGGCAAAGGTAGGGGGCTCTCTAGGTCTTTCCTTCATGGATGCACCTGTACAGACTTGCCAACTGTGTCCCACTGTGGGTCATTTCCCTCTGTGCCGCTCCATCAGTTTGAACTATTCCCTTTACTCTGCTGTTCCTGCCTTTCCTCCCAGTTCTAGAACTCATCCATTTCAGGTCTCAGTGAGATTCAATAGCACTTCCTCTAAGTGCCACAGTCTCCCTTCATCCACTTCCAACTGTGTGTCCCATGAACTCCCACATCCAATTTGCAGTGCCCTAAAAAAATTGGACTACAGGTTCCTTGGATTAGCTCCTTTTTGAACTCCCTGTTTGAGGTGGTACCCAGCCCTGTCCTAAAACAGCTACAATGAACAAGTGTTCCAGATGTTAGCAGGTAGGTTCTTCCAGCTTTTGTGCCATCCTTGCTGCTCCTATCCTCCACTTCTGGACTCATTCCAACTCTCCAACACCTCATCTGCTATCTGGAGTTCTGTGATCTCAGCTTCTGCTTGTTTTTATTTGTTGTTCATTGGGTTTCTGAGGAGTAAATGGGAGCCTCCACTCATTTTGCCATCTTGCCCTGCCTCCCCAAGCTCACTTCTGTTGATTGCCATCTTCTTCTAGATATTAGACTGGTAATTTTTTTTTACTATCTTCTTTGCTCTTTGATGCCTTTGATTAGTGTGTTTGAATATTTTGCCCATCTCTTCTAGTTGTCTTCAGTAGAATTGGTCTGAAATATTAAAGTTGCCATTATTGCAAATGAAAGTCCTTATGCTTTTAAATTTTTGAACATTTATTATATGTTTGTATAGCATGACCACATATTTGGTTTTTTTTCAAAAAAGGTTCTGAAGCAAAACCACCTGGATGATTGTCTGCGACATGTATCTGTAAGAAGATTTGAATCATTTAATCTGTTTTCAGTAACAGAAGCTGAAAAAAAGGAAACTGAAGAGGAGATTGGTACTTGGGTCCAATATACAAGTGTCTTCTATCCTGAATACAGTATCTTCTTAAGGTAACCATCATTCTGTTTAAGGTTTTCTCGTATTTTCTCTTATAGAAGAAAAACAATCTAATCAGAATCTCATCATTCTATTGAGTTGGCAGACAATCTTTATCAGAGCTTAGATTTTGCAACTTGGTATTAGGAAATCCTGCTACTTTAAGCAGATATTGCTGTATTGTCAGAACTAAAGAAAAAATTCTCAAGAACATAGTGACATGTGAGATAAAGTGGATTGTAAATCAAAGAATTTATTTAATCTTTTGATCATAGCATTTGATTATTACACAGTCTAGTTCTTTTTGAGGCACAGAAGGCTGAAAGTGAAAACAGGTTTTTTCCAAGCAACTCTTAAAGTAGCAGTTCTAAAAAATCAAGCTTTAGTATTTTTTCCTCTTCATGTTTTGTCATTTTTAAAATAGAACCTTAAGGATAGAAGGAGAGGTACATACACACAATGGAATACTATGCAACGCTAAAGAATAATGTAGAATCTGCAAAACACCGCATAACGT